CCCCAAAACCCCAAAACCCCAAAACCCCAAAACCCCATCACCCTCAAAGTTGGTTGAACAACTATTTAGCCATATTTCTTCGTGATTGTCACCTTCAAGCTAGATTCTGCATCAAGTCCTAGGATATAGTCTTGGTTTGAGAGAATTTTTGATTCGATTTTGAACTCTACTCTGATAAGGATATAAGCTACGAAGACTTTTAAAGCAGTCATCGCATAGTTGTCCCCAGCACACTTTCTTTTACCGAATGAGAAAGGGATGAATGAAGTAACTGGCCTCGGGTCTTCAGTTCCAGGGATATAGTAAAGCTCTGATTCTGGATCAAACCTCTCGGGAATAAACTCTAATGGATTATGCCATATCTTTGGGTTATAGTGCTGGGATGCTATGATAAATGAAAAAGAAAATACCAATATTTAAAAATATTTGAGTATCCTTTGAAATATCAACACCACAAACTGTAACTTCCTCATTCGCAACATATGGCGAAGATCCAACAGTAGGGGGATATAGCCTCATGACCTCCTTGATCACATATGTGAGGTATTCACACCTATCTATTAATACAAAAACTACTCAAGTATTGTTTTGACACCCTCATCTGTCTCAAATGCGTTCTTTTTACTAGCTTCCTCAATAACACCATTCTTTTCCAATTCCTGATATAATTTGTCCCAAATTTCAGGATTCCTCTTAAGAGTCAGCAATACTGAAGGAATAGTGAGCATCAGAGTACCAGAGGCAGCATCAATCAAAAGAAATAGATCATTCTTCAATTCAGAGGGATCATAATCCTTTATTGAATCAGGATCCAGGATATCACCCATCAAAGGACAAGAAAACTCGCTTTGTGTGTCATTTTTAGTCAAGAATTCTGTCAGCACTCTATAAATCTCATCTATGTTCTCTTGATCTCTCTTATAAGGATCTACCTCACTCTTGAGGTTAATATGCGGGCAAAGTCCAGACGTGATATCAGAGCCGTTTTCAATACAATCTAGGGAGACTTGAGCAAGCCCTTCTTCAAATTTGGTTTTATATTTCCTTCCATCAGAGTACTTGTAATTGATCTTCCCAATGTTCTTGTGAAATTCCTCTCCAAAAAGAATGGTCAGGACGATATCGTAGAGACAAGATCCTATAGTTTCGACAAGATCAAAGGCCTTGTTCTTTTTTATTTTTGAAATATACTGCTCTAAAACAAGAAGCATGAGGCCAACTTGACTCTCAGGCTTCTTGAATGGAGTATTTCTAAAGAACAAATTGTATCTTTGTTTGAATGATGATGATGTAGGACACATCTCCAGACTGTCAGGATATACCTTTCCGAATGTTAGCTTCTCAGTATCTGATCTGTCAATTTTTTTAGGAAGTAAAGACTTAAAATCCTTAAAAGCTTGCTGAGAGGAAAGATAAACTATAGTTCTTTGGAATTCAAATATCACAAGTATGTCCATGTCTGGGTTATCTGTGATACAGTCAATATGCTTTTGAAGCTGAAACTTCATCGAATCTTCTTCATCTTCATAGTCCCCATAAAGAGGATGAGGGTTCTCACTCACAGTCACGTTGTCATACTTCTCATAGTGCTCTTTAGCAGCCTGAACTACTCCATTGCTCTATAAGTTATAAATTTGAGTTTACTTCTAATTCAGCAAATTCTGACGATTCCATAAATTAAAAATATTATTAAATTATCGCAACACTTTCCAATATAACCCTTCCATTGTGGGGTTTTGGGGTTTTGGGGTTTTGGGGTTTTGGGG